GCAAGACTCCAGTCGAAATAGCTCTGGGTATCATAGAGACACAGAAACTGCCCCGGCACGATAAGATAGCAAGCGACTGCTGTATATTCGGAGCAGATACGTACTGAATATCGCTTAACTTAATCAATATAAAATTCCGATTTATATCACGCATATATCGTTCACGATCAAAAAAAGGTAGAAATCTCCCTGGCTTTATTTATTTATATATTTATTTTTCTTCTTTGAATGCCCATTCAACAAAACAGCTAAGTTTCGTTTGTAAGTTGCCTTCACAAAATTCAAGTCAGAAACAAGCCTTACCTAAACGATTATCTCTCGAAGCATCTGCCGTTATATTATTTCAAGTATTTTTTTCAATTCTTCAAACGATATTACATGTACCAATGCCGTATTGGCCATGTTTGTAACATATTTTAAGGGCCTGACAACATGAAGAGCTAAATTGTTACATCACAACTCACAACATCGTTTGTTCATAGCATCATGTGGTTGAAGCTTTGTTTCATCGCTCTTTTGTTTGTGGTCGCTTATGGGAGGTCTTCTCTTCAAGGTGAGAGCCGCCACAACTTAAGAGTGACTTTTAGGTTTGGACATATTTTTCTTTCGGATAATTTCTTATACAACTCTGTTTAGTTGATATGGCATAACCGTTTTTGTAGATGTAGATTAGTTCGTTGCTGTGGGTCAGATTTGTGTTGAAGGCAGCTGGCTCTAAGACAGAGGGAGGGCTGGGCGAAATGACTTGTTTTTGCGCGTTGATGTGATCAGGAAAAGTCATATTTATATTTCCTTTCTCTACGTTCTTTTGCTTAATCTGTGATTTATACGTGTTATATATAGCGTATACGTAGTAAAAGTAAAATATATTTTGTCTCCTAAAGATGCAGAAATTNCTAAGGACTCTAAGCAAACATTACGTGAGGACGATAATAATAATAATAATAATAATAATAATAATAACAATAATAATAATAATAATAATAATAAGAGTAAGAATAATAATAATAATAGCTAATTGGGGACACCTAAAAGAGTTACAGTTACAATGAGTGTTGGTGTATGACCTTGCAACTGAAGTCAGATTTGAAAGCAATGAACAAACAAATAACACTCTAAGACTGTGCACCCAGGCTCAGAGGATAAAAAAACTTGGAAATTAAAAGGCTAACTACCCTGAAACCTCTTATTTGATATTCTCGCCTTATGTGATTACAACACGTTCATCTTAGGTAGTAGATACAGATGCCCGTTTGGCTGGGCCTTCAGATGCATAAGAAACAAATACAGGAGGTTTCAGTGTAAGTGCTGGAGGCGTCATTACCGAGGTAAGTGTACCACAATCACAACTGACACGGTTTGGCCAAGACTTAATACATGTGTAAAAACAATCATCCATCTAGTCGCAGCCATGCAAAGCTGTTTCAATTTTTTGTAGAAAAACATAGCACCTAGCTCCAGGAAGCTGGGCAGGGCTTTGAAGAAACGGTGACCGACCGGAAGTACGAAATGACGGACGCACGACCTATTAAGCAACCGACCGAATGACTGGATTACTGTACGTCGGACTGTTTACCGTCGGCTTTCTTTAACATTCCTTTACTCGCTGACTTAATATATTAATCGGTTGATGAACTCATTTACTTTTAATCTTTCATGTAGGAAGAGGTAGAGATGAGCCAGTGAACAACTACTGAAATCCTCGGAAAAGAAGATATCGAAGAAATTTAAGTGAGGTTAGCGTTCTAAATATAGTGCAGACCGGGTACCGACACTAGAAGGGACACGCAAAAGTTTCCATGTTATCCGGGTATCCGTAATCTTCCTCTCAGAACGTAAGTCAAGAATACGTGTTTTATCGAAAACAAAAATGAAATTTAAGAGTAACAGCACGATTTTCAATGCCTTAAAATAATACCAACGTGTTCACCAATGATTGAAAAGTTCTTTGATACCGTAAGTGTTGCATCAACTGATAAAGAGTAGTTATAACGACCCGTCAAAATCTGCGTCTTGAAAAGTGCTGGATACTGCACGTTTTGAGCCAACTTAATTAAGGTGGCTTAAAAAAGGTTCTCCAAGACTCAGCAGCGCCTGTTATGACTGCCTGCCGAAAGTAAGCATTGCTTGCGCGGGCAAAAATGATGCAAGTGAACCAAAGACACGGAAACAACTTCCGCACATAATTGAAACGCGTTAAAACACTTTGGTAGGACGTAGTGACGAATCCAAACTACCTTCAAACATGTGTTTAAGCCTAGGACCTATAAAATATGACAAAAAGATCAATAAAAAAAAAAAACCGGTAAAGAGTTTCAATTTACTGTTGCTTTTTCGCACGTGATACATGAGTGTCACATGACACGTGCGCTTATATAAGAGCCATACTGAGTTCGATTCCCGTATAGGGGTGAATCGGGTTCAGAACCAAAATATTAAAACAACAACTCCTGCAAGACCGATTTTGACCCATGAATGATCACTTGTAATTCTTTGAGGCGCTTCGCATGGGTACTCTCGTCCCGTTCGCGCTTTCCCTTTTGGGAATTATTATCTTCTCTTTCTTCATTTTTGGTTTTTGTTTTTATTTATTTATTTTTTTGTTTTGTTTTGTTTTTTACTACAATCCCAATAAACTCTATTAAACGGATTATTATGATTTTCTTTAATTTAACTTCGTCCTCTTCATAACTTTCCAAGGCAGATCACAAATCGTTTCCAGTGCTACTTGCTGCGCAACTCAACCACAAAAACACTCTAACTTTTTTATTACCTTGCAGGTGGCTTGTCTCCTCTTGCCTTCGACATAACTTGAGAAACTCTAATAAAGGAAAACCACAAGGGGAACCAATAAGAAGAGCCAGATTATTCTGGTAGACGCAGAGCAGTAAAATTCCTTCACAACAACGGATTCAAATGATGTACCCTTTAAGGAATAATAAAAAGTCAACGAGGAGGGGGAAAATGTTTGTTGCTTCTTCGAACACCCCCTCCCCTCCCCCATTTTTAAATGCCCTTGTATGTGCTTACCAAAACGCACCAAAACCTATTTAATTTGCGAAACGTTTTCCTCTTTAGCATGTCCATCGAAAGTTTTAAAGTAACTCGATTTCGTATCATTATGGGACCTGGTGTTGGACTAGCATCCCACCAAGGGAGTGGAGAGAGTTACAACCCCCCAGTTGTTTCGTTCTATAGAGAGCGAGATCAGCTGTGGCAATTGGAATCATTTTGGATCGAGTGCAACTAGCCTTTAACTTACCTCCATCGGGATAGCAATAAAAGGGGCTTGGTTTGCCCATTTTCGAGCTTAGTTTTCACTCACCAAACATCATTCCTACTAAAGTTCTCCATATAATCGTCATAACTTTGTCTCGAATCTCAACGACACATATGACAAGCTGCAAATGGTAATTATGATAAAACACTGTATTGAATTTGCATACAATATGCTATTTTTAATTCGAAACTTGACCCCACAAGCAATTCACGTCGGTATGATTAAAGAATGTTATTACTGCTGTTGTTGATGTTGTTATTATTGTCGTATTTTCACCGTCACGCAGACAAAAGGCAAAAGGACATCTGAATGAAATTATTATTGTCGATAAATCGGTTTTTTAGCATACTTTTAGTATAATAGCTGTAAAAAAAACTTTAATACGACCAATCATTTTCACGACAACACTTTCATAACACAACGTTGGTGGCTTTACAGGAGGTCCGTCATTGCACCTTTACGATTGAAGCTGGCAATTGCATCGTAAATGCTTATATCATTTAAGCATGCAGGTTGACTGAACATGGTTTACAGCAAAGATAAGGTATGAAACCCTTAATAACTACCACGGTCACTTCACTAACCGTAAATAATTACTATATGCAAACAGTGCTCTATAAGAGTGAATCAAAAGACGCGTCAGAAACATTTCAAGTACTATATCAAGCACGAGAGACAGTGTTTCATCGGGATATCAAAACACCGTGAAGAGCGTCGAAAATACGACGCGCAGCGGAGTATTTTTGTCGAAATTCGAGGTGTTTGGATAGCCGATGAAACACTGTCTCGAGTGTTTGATATATCTTCTCAATCGAAACAAAAACTAAGGAGTAAACGGAGAAGTAAAATCATCAAAATCTATGCTAATTATGACCGGATATCCAAACCTCCGTCGCGGTTGTGATTTTCTTTGTTCTAACTTGATGAAATATTAATGAGTTTGAGAACATATATTCTTACTTCCCCTTGCTTTGATCGCCAAATAAGGATAACCAGGTGTAACGGGCTTTTCTTTTCCTTTTTCCCACACGTTCACTGTTACTTTGATAATGTAGTAGGAGTAGAAGAGACGGAGCGGAAAGATGCACTCAAAAATTTACCCGGGAGAATCTCATATAAAAAAGACGGGCGTGCTCGTCGCACCTTTTAGTGGTTAAGAAAGCGGCATTATGACAGGAGATATTTGACATTCAACTTTAAGAGCAGAACTTATTCGAATGTCCAGATAACTATGAAAATTACTTTCTTAATTACTTACGATACCTTTTGGGTCATTTTATTCTGCCGAAGATCATCTTCAGGATGTTTGAAACCGTCAAAAATCCGTTCCAGTGATTACAACATTTTGAGGGGAACTGCCTAAGGAACATAAAAATCGTCGTGTAAGCCACATTTAAGTGTCTTAGCTCAAAATCGCTCAGCAGTTGGATAATTCTATCGGCTTCTTGTTCTCCAAATATGGCAGAACACAAGGAAGTAACGCAATTTTTTTGCAAATTTTTTGTACTTGGGGTCTATATCGACCCAGCGGCACGTGACTTGCTTCCATAGAGCAGAGGTTCGACTGTACAGTAATTCCTAGTTCTAGATCAAAAAGCAGAATCTTTTAAAACGTGAAATCGATCTAGTTGTGTCTGTTTTTAGTTTTGAGCAGTTTATTGGAGGTGGCATAATATCTCTTTTCCACCCACACTCGATACACAATACACATGGTGGACATTTATTGAATATTACTCTAGTTGGTTGTGGGATTCGGATGGCGTTTTGGAGAAACTGAAGATTAGCTAAATTTTTAGCTGTTAGCAGGAAAATGGGGCGGTTTTTTCTGATAACTGATATCTGAGATTTCCAAAATTTACTAAAATAGATGAAATATGAACTATTAGAGTTTTAACTGATACCTGCGAAATCTCCCAAAACTCAACCGGTAACTAAGATTCCGCCGGCACTCCATCAACGAACACCATCTAACGACTGGTATTTACCCATAATCGAATCGAGAATCTGTTACAGCAGAGGCATCTTCCATACTGTGCGAGAGAAATTTCACAAAAACGAAGCTTGAAAACTCTCTTCAAACCGGAGGAATTGAAATCGCCGGCTTTTCGTTTACGTGTGGACGGAGAACATTTTAAAAACGGAGCTTTTCGAAAACAATGACACCACGATAATAATGTTATTCCCTTGACCAAGTCTTTCTCAACCACAAATCTAAACGATCTTTAATTTTTGCGTTTTCAAATTCCTCCAGCGTAGTGTGGACGGAAAACTTTTGATGAGTTTTCAGATAAAGCTGACCTCCGTTCTAAAATTTCTCTGCCGTAGTATGGAAGGGGTCTGAGGAGCGTTTTATTGTTCGCGAAAACATACATATACATGTTAAAACATACACTCCTGCTCTAGCTTCAAGTGATTTAAGTTTCCTTAGGCTTCAACAAATTTGCAAGTGTCGTGTTTGCGGTCCACATGCTTGATTCGTGACAACTGCCTCTCACGCGTGTGAACTAACAACGCTGAAAGGACCTGAAAGACAATATCCGGCTTCAGATAAGCATGGAGAGGATTTTGGATATCTTTTCTTCCCAAATGACTTTATATTTTAATTTAGACCAGAAAGAATGAGGAAGTTTCATACGAATTTTAGAAATACCAATATATATAACTAGACATTCTTCCGAAGCAAAACTTCCACGCAAAGCCATTATAAAGGAATTCAGTCATCATAGAATACAGGAGGAAAGTAAAGGTCGGCACACACAAGCGGACTAGTCCGTGCGACTAGTCCCCGCAACAAGTTGCGAGGACAAGTTCCATCGTGTGAACTGGCCATTTTGTTTCAAGATCTAAACTTTGGTCCCTGCGACTAGTCTCACGAATTCAAACCAGTTTGAATTTTTGGGACAAGTCCCGGCGACTTGTCAAAACGCTTCGTGTGAACTGTTCGTGGGACAAGTCCCTGCGACCAGTCCCTTCGTGTAAGCTCATCAGGAGACTAGTTGCAGAGACTAGCCGCAGAGACTAGTTCCCTCGTGTGTGTCGGCCTTTAGACCCTTTGGTCTCCACGAATTCGTTGCTTTCACTTGAAGTCATCAAAATTCTAAGTTCTAAATGTTTAATCATACGATTCTATTATTTTGAAGTATTATATAGCTAGAAAACATTAACCCTAGTGCTTGAATTCGGAAACAATGAAACACTTATTAATTTGTTACGTCCTTAGTAGTTGAACGAGTGATTGAAATGTCACGAAAACGGATATTTCATTGTCATTTAGACTTTTTGGACGTGGAAATATTAAAAAAAAAAAATGATATTTTAAGAGCTTCGCGGTAAAAGTTCCATTGAGGGACAACATCCGGCTGCATACTGTAACTGATGATATCGCAATTTTCTCAATATTTTATAAAGTTCACCATAATTCGGGCTCAAACATGGGCCACAAGGCTAAAGTTTTGACAAAACGTTGCTCTTTTTTCGGCCCAAGAATTAATGTGTGAGATTTAATTAGTTTGCAGGAAAATACGGTACTTACCTTTTGCGGGCTACCAAGCAAGCACAGGCGTCTGGAGTTACATTCTTCAAAGGAGCTCAGTCACAATATTTTGAGTTATTTTGGACGGGTACAATTTTACGTTTAGATTGAATAAAACCTGAAAATAGCATTTTACTGAGATAGAAAACACCAAAAGAGATAACAATAAACCATAAAGAAACAAGGATGGAGAAGATTAAGACGGATTACGAACGACGAACTTGAAAATTTTAGCTTAAAATTCAAGATGTGCAAAACGTGATGTAGCTCCTTTCATCCAGAACTGAAAAGATGTAAGTGCTAGAACATTATAATATGTGATGTGGTAGGGCCCTAATATGTCAAATGAGAATAACTTCTCCATATTATAATTAAGTGATTCAGCAAACCGGATTTAGGCTTTCCCGATCGACTTTTAACTGTCTCCAAGAGTGATATATCCTTAAATTGGAACTAAAAAAGTCGCGTTTTTGGGGGAATAACGTCGGGCAATGCTATTTTACTGAAGATGTGTTCTCAAATGGTGAAGATCAGAGAGGAAAAAAAAACACAAGCATTTTTTGCGGACATTAAAATAGTTTAATTCCCTCAGAAGAGAGACATTTTATCAAAAACTCAGAGGAAAATATCCAAACTTACATTGCTGTTCGAGCTTTGACACCATAAGGGAAGCTATTTGACTAGCTTTAGTGAGCCAAGGTCATTTCAATATCAACCAAATCTCAATTTTCAATCATCGATGGAATTTTGGCCAAGGATGTAAGCGAATAATGCGTAATAAAGTTATTTTATTGTAGTGCTTTTAATCTGATATGAATGCTGAAACCCCTTAAAAATCATGTTTCCTGTGCTCTACAATCTTGTATCAACTCCATGTTGCTTGATTGATGTTTGCTAAACGCTTACAGAAATAAATTCAATATATTGTTATTCCATTACCAGAGGAGTTACGTTTGTTGCAATTCGTAATATTGTATTTCTGCAGTGAGTAACCAAAACTATCAAGTTTAACAGAAGGTACGTAAAGCCGACGATATCAAAAGTTAGCGTTGATTTCCTGCACCATTTAAGAAGCTGTTTGCGGGCATTAGGGAAGTAGTTAGGTATTGATATTTCGTGCTTCAGGCCAAACGAAATACTGTACCGTTCAATTCGTTACCAGATAAACTGTTTTGGGATATGACAAAAGCACAGCTTTGGATGAGCTTGTAATTTCGTTTCAAACTGGTATTTACAAAATAATAATAATAATAGTAATAGTAATAATAATAATAATAATAATAATAATAATAATAGACGTGCGAAGCTTTCGTTAACTGGAATTATGCCCTATTTCTGGGGTTGTGGCCTCAGCCCCCAAATACCGGCGATATTAGACCCGTTATATATATTGGTGCTAATAAGTGACATAGAGATGATTATGACGTTTGAATTTAAAGTTATTATGATTGCTGCATTATCATGTTCATCCCAAATACGTCCATGTTAAAGATTTAGGCATTTAAGTTACATGCAAGTGAGGCTATTGTTTTCTTGTTATGTAAGCACAGCCAGAATATCACCGTTTTTGACTGAGCGCTTACAACTATTTAGGGAATAAAGCAACAGAAATTAGAAAATAATACTTTGGTTAGCCGCAAGAAAGGAACTGATGTATGATCATGAATTACGTGAATTAGCTCCCACGGTATATTTTGTATTGATTGACCAAGTGATAGATGAACAGTATATTTATATCGGTTTGTAGAAGTTCACCGCTCCTTCCTCATTTTCTCCAATTGACAACTTGTTTCACCGACGCTAAATAAATGTCGGTTGTTGTAGCTCGTAAATGGATACAGTTATTTTGCGTATCATTGACAACCAAACATCAGTCGACAATTTTTTTCACCTTATCCCAGTGACAGGGGGTCAATAGTAAAGCATGACGGTAAATTCATCATTCCTCTATTTAAATAGCTTTTTGCGGCGTATATTACAGCAGATATGGCCATGTCAATTCACAAGAGCACACTCTCGTCACAAGAGCAAACTTTTAGTGTCAATCGTAAATAAGTTTTGGTCTTTTTTTAGTGCAAAAACACTTATAAGAACACTTAACCATTAAAACATCTTTGGCGGCACGTACGCACGGAAAGCAAATCCTATAAAAGAAGAGCAATAAAACCAACAGTTAGAATCGTCAGTTGGTAGTGCACCTCTTCAGTCCTAACCATGGCCAAGAAAACCTTTATGATCGCAG